CTGCCATTGATGAGCTCACTGTTCCGGGTCTCATCCTTGTCTTCACTACTCCCGCCGACAGCTCAATGAAGCACTAGGCCGACACCCACAGAGCCGTGGCAATGGCAGCCCCTTTGTTCACCGTGACAGGTCCCCTTTAAGGAACTGGCAGCGAGCCGGCACAGGGACATCATCAGCTCTGTTTATCTGTCTTATGCCGTGTCGTCGTCCGCACAGACTCTTGAAGTGTCCATTAGATGTAAAAGGGAGGTCTGCCCTGGGGGGGTGGGGGGGAGGTACTGTACAAATGTCAGTGATTGGCCCCAGTGTGCACTTGTAGATCCTGCGCAGAATGCTCTGATGTCATAGCAGGTATTGATCCGCCATGTCTGTCCTGCAGGGACGGGATCCCGCCGTACCGATCGGGCAGCAAGAAGCAGCTGCAGCGGGAGATGCACCGCAGCATGAAGGCCAACGGCCAGGTGGCTCTACCTCACTTCCCAGTAAGTGTCATGGCCGCTCCGCATGCGTATCAATGTAATGGTGCAGCCGATCAGTCCTGGCGGAATTGTATTGATCGATTGATCTGATATCTGTGTCTGATAATAATGCATATTGATTATTGATGGGTTACAGATTATAACTGATCAGTGTGACCGCCCGAGAATGTGGGAGGACGACGCGTGTGTTGTATTGTTCAATATTGATTGGTGATTGGCGTGTCTGTGATCGATCAATACATGTATGACCACCTGCAGAGCCAGGCGGCTGTGTGTGCGATCACAGAATCCGCCAATATTAAAGGGAAAGTGCTTCACCCCCCTCTCCTCCTTCCATCCACGTCTCCTCTTCACCCCCCTCTCCTCCATCTATCCACCTTTCTCTCTCTCCCCGTATCTCTCTCTCTCTCCCCGTATCTCTCTCTCTCTCCCCGTATCTCTCTCTCTCTCCCCGTATCTCTCTCTCTCTCCCCGTATCTCTCTCTCTCTCCCCGTATCTCTCTCTCTCTCCCCGTATCTCTCTCTCTCTCCCCGTATCTCTCTCTCTCTCCCCGTATCTCTCTCTCTCTCCCCGTATCTCTCTCTCTCTCCCCGTATCTCTCTCTCTCTCCCCGTATCTCTCTCTCTCTCCCCGTATCTCTCTCTCTCTCCCCGTATCTCTCTCTCTCTCCCCGTATCTCTCTCTCTCTCCCCGTATCTCTCTCTCTCTCCCCGTATCTCTCTCTCTCTCCCCGTATCTCTCTCTCTCTCCCCGTATCTCTCTCTCTCTCCCCGTATCTCTCTCTCTCTCCCCGTATCTCTCTCTCTCTCCCCGTATCTCTCTCTCTCTCCCCGTATCTCTCTCTCTCTCCCCGTATCTCTCTCTCTCTCCCCGTATCTCTCTCTCTCTCCCCGTATCTCTCTCTCTCTCCCCGTATCTCTCTCTCTCTCCCCGTATCTCTCTCTCTCTCCCCGTATCTCTCTCTCTCTCCCCGTATCTCTCTCTCTCTCCCCCTCTCTCTCTCTCTCTCCCCGTATCTCTCTCTCTCTCCCCGTCTCTCTCTCTCTCTCCCCGTATCTCTCTCTCTCTCCCCGTATCTCTCTCTCCCTCTCTGCCTCCACCCCTGGTCTAATTTTTCCTCTCCCCCCTTATTCCCAGTCTCCTCCTCCTCCTCATTCCTCGCTCTCCCCTCCCTCGTCCCTGTCATCTGTCACCTTGCTCCTTTGTCATTCTTTGATCGTCGGTCTCTTTGTACGGCGCTCTCTGTGGTCTCCTCTGATTCCAGCTGTCTCTCTTTGGCCACCTTGCTCTCTCTCTCGCGCGCGCTCTCTCCGCACACCCGTCTCCCCGCCTGTCTCCTCCACCTCTCTTCCCTTCGCCGTCCCCTCCCCTCTCCCGGATTTCATTTGATGTCTGACAAGTGTCTTTGAAGATTTGCAACTACAGAGCAGCTCCTGATAGGCTGGTTGTAGTACAGAGGGAGCAAGCGGGGTTCCTCGCAGTGTAACCAACTGCTAGTGCCGTAGGCGAAGGCTGCTGGGCAGTATGCCTCTCCGTGAAGCCACGGCGCTGCCTCATAAATATCTCCAACAGTCACACAGCCGCAACGCTCTTCCCTCTCACTCTCCGAGACGCAGCCGAACAGACGCAGCTCCAGCCAAAGCATGCCTGACTCCCCTCCTTCTTCCCCCCGCTCTCTGTAGAGGACGCACCGGCCGCCCAGAGAGATGACCCCCATTGAACCGGCCGTGTTTGCGGCGGAACTCATCGCCCGGCTGGAAAAGGTGAAACAGGAACAAGAAACTATGAACACGCTGGAGGAACGACTGCAGAAGATCAAAGAGGTACGAGGCAGCTGTCCCGCCACCCCCGCTCCCCATATCCCACCCGTCTTCTCTGTTGTATTTTGTACGTTTGCCATCAATACGTCTCCGTTGTGCGTATCTCCGATTTATCAATCGCGGTGATCGGTATCGTCCTTGTCGCAGTCTGTGTGTCCTCCTGTACCCCCCCC